AAAAAGGTGGCGAGGGAACACCATGTCACTCAAACCAGGACGGTGGGCACAGCTGCGCTGCTGGAGCTGCCAGGTAAAGTCTAACATGTGCATCGGAACAGGTGAGACGGCACGGAAAGCCCGGTGGTTAAGGCCAATCGTTTTCCCACGAAGCTGTCGCCGAGTCCCGGCGATGACGGCGTTTCCGGAAGTCACCCCTGTCCCTGGACGTAATATTCGTAATTTGCTTTCAAAACGAAGGCGAAGTAGGGACTGGCCTTCAGGCCCCCGAGCTGCTCGGCCTGAAGCAGGTCATCCACGTCGGGCAGGTACTCGCTGAGCTGAATGCCTGCGACACAAACAGAGTCCGTTTGTATTGTCCTGGAACTCTCCATGACTCAGGTGATGGGTGATGCCAACACATGCGCTTCTATTGCAGTGGTGCTGCCGCGGGGGCTGCTGGGAAAGGCCGGCCTTAAGCTGCTCCATCTGTCACACGCCTGCAGGTCTAACCACAGAGCTTTCCCCGAGTGGGCAAAGAGCCGCCTGTCTAGGTTTCAGTGAGACCTGACGTCTTTCCTTTCCTCCACAGCATAAGCCCTTCCTCCCAGGTGGAAGGTGTGTTTCTCTAAAGTAACCATCACCCGGAAAGGATTAAATATCCTCCGACTTGGAAATAACGTGGTAGAAATACTTTCCTGAGGGCTGGCTACAGGATCCCCAAATGTATCCCAGTTTAAATCTAAAATCAGGTGTGGGGGGGGATCATTTCTTCACCAGCCCCCGGGGGAGCCGGGAGCCAGGGAGCCAACTGAACGGACTGTGTACAGTGAGGTCTGGGGAGTTACAAGAGAGTATGTACAAGTGTTCTCATTTGATGAAGAAAACTGGAGAAAAATATTTAAACTAATATTTTATAACGTGTTAATTACCATAAGGTTCTCAAAGTGCTTAGCACAATATTTTATACTTGTTATACAATAAAAATCTAGATTAATAAATGCTATCAGGCTAAATACAAATTATTGATATACACTCATCACCATTTCACTTTCAATAAAACCGTTTTCTCTATATATAGTATCACACTTGTAAAAGCTATCACAGCACTTTCCAGTTTTCAATCTGAAAAACTACAGGAAATGATTTGTTCCATCTTATCGATTGTCACAGCCCGAATCTGTTCCCGCTCCCCGTCCGGCACGGAGACTGCGCAGGGCAGTAACCAGGACCCACGTGGACGGAGGCCTCACCGGGCACATGCTTCCTTCATTTTAAACAAGTCGCTTAGTTCTGAATATGCTACTGTTTAACCTTAAACCACCCGGCATCTGACACCTGGCAAACCCCCGTTGTCCTAAAGTTTCTAAAACTGAGGAGCGATGCTTCATGTCCGATATTCACAAGCCACTCACCATCTTTCAGAAGTTTCTGTAGGATTTTCACAAATATGCTGTCTTTCGATACTTCAATTGGATCGTCTTTACCATCAGAGCTGGACCAGCTGGAAAAGAGAATCAGGACGAAAGAGAAATGAAGTCACGGCGTCTGTGACGTGAAAGACGTCTGTCTGCCCCTGGGGTTTGTTTTGAGTGTGGGGCGCGGGCAGAGCGAACAGGGAGTTCTGTGATCCTCCTTCAAATGACTGGAACAAAGGGCTTTAAATGCTGATGACACGGAGGCTCTCTGTATTAGGTATAAGGTACCACACGCAGGTAGCCGTTGGCCAAATACAGCCATTACGTGTTTGATGTCAATACCAAGTCGTGAGGCCTCGTTCCCGGGAAGCTGTGCAAACGTAACAAACCCAGAGAGGACCCCCGAGCATGAGCTCTGGGCGCCCAGGCCGGTCACCGTTCACGTGGACGTTCAGGTTTCACAAAAGGGCCACCAGGGGACCGGTGCCCGGTATGGAGTCTGCTTTATCTGGTGGAGGCTGTCCACCACGGAAGTCCAACACAGGAACACTGCTGGGTAATGAGTGATCCATGGATTTACCCAACGCGATCAACAAAAAGCCAGGAACTGCGGCCAAATGACAGGCGTTCAGTGACGACCAGGCAGGAGAATGAAGCAGGCAGAGCGAGAGGCTTCAGAGGCCGGCCTCCGAGGCCAAATGGGACAACAACTCTCACTCTGGGAGGGTCAGAGGGAGAAACGCTTCAGTGAAAATAGTTCTGCTGCCGCTCTCGCCACCACAGGAAGAAGGGGAGCTGGGGCAGCGCCAAGTCCTGCTCCTGTAAAAACTCTCTTCCTGGAAGCAATACATCCCACAGCCGGTTACCGAGTCTGTCCCTGCCACCATCCACTCCACCAGCCCGGGGTCAAAGTGCCCTGTGCCGGGCGAGAGGGACGTGCAACCAGGTCTCCATCACCCAGAGGACGCCGGGCCTCCAACTGTAATGACCGCTCATTAAAAAAAAAAATTTAAAAAAATAGCCTCAAGCCGTTTGGAGAGCTGGCCATGCTTCTGTGAAGATAAGGAGCATGTAAACTGACAGTCTAAATTTTAAAGGAAAATTGTACCAGAGTTTCAAATTCTTAAGCTACACCTTAATTATTTAATGAAAAAGTTAAGATGACTAATGCAACCGTTACAATTTTCATAACAGTGTATATACAATTAGGCCACAACAGTACTTGATGTGATATAATATCTCTAAAGAGACTTTTCCAAAAGCATATCTCAGATTCACGCCACAAGAACTTACTTATCTCTCTGAAGAGCTTTGCAAAGGATTTCCAGTTTCAGGTCGTTTATATTTATTTCTTCTTCCTTCATAGCAAAACAACAAAAAATCCTCATTAAGTCCTGATTTATAAAAACACATGCTTAAGTTTGAGTTGTGTCAACTCCTAATTCTGCATAAGTATTACTTTACTTTAATTCATCATTTAAAAATATTTCCCTTTCTTTAAAACATTAACACTGCACAGGGGAGTAAGCCAATTAATAATCTGTGACTTGGTTTCTGATTCTCCTCGGATAATATGAATTTATCAGACAGTGAGAGGGTTAAGATTTTAAACAAGGTGATGTAAAAACCAAAACACTGTTTTTATTCTTTTTCAAAAGTTTATTTTTTTCTCTTTAAATGCATTGAGGTGACCTTGGTTAATACGGTTACATAGGTTTCAGGTGCACTTTCTAAGATACGTGGTCTGTGCACTGCACCGTGTGCCCCCCACTCAGTCACATTTCCCGTCACCATGTATGACCCCTTCACCCTTCACTGCCCCCTTCCCCTCTGGTAACCACCAAACTGTTGTCTGTTTATGACGTTTTGTTTGGTTTTCACATTTGTTGCTCTCAGTGGTATGTCCCACACTTGAGGGAAACCATCAGGTTTGACTTTTCCTGACTCACTCCGTTAGCAGGAGCGTCTGTCTCAGACCCTCCACGTTCCTCCCAGGGGCTGCTTTCAGTCCACCAGCTACTCAAGGGCAGGGCCAACGACCCATCCCAGAGTTTTCATCATCACCTCTCTCGTGTCCAAGGCTGAGAATAGGGTGAATGCCACCCAGAACGAATTAATAAAGCAGCGTAAACAGGGGGACTAATCATGGCTTAATAAATCAAAGAGAGAAATTCCTTCAGACTCAGAGAAGCAGCCTTGTTATCTGTGCCCAGAAAAGGCATCTGGGAGTGTGAGAAGCGTCAGGAAAGGACACCGCCCTCTTTCTGAAGCGCGGCTCATAGCCCGCCCGAGAGCGAGGGGAGCGGAGCCGCTTTCCCACATCCTCATGGCTGGCTGGAGAGGCCGTGTTTAATGTGTTCAGTTCTACAGAAAGCCCGGGATAACCCCGACACTGCCTGTGGTCATCTCGTGTGACCTCACCCACCTCGTCGATATATTCCAGCAGGTCCAGGGCCTTCTTGAAATCATACTCGTTAGCTCTTCCGTTCTCCTCGCAGACGTAGAGCTACGGCAGGTAAAGATAAAGGACCAGTTTAAGTAAAGATATAACACTAGAGATGTTCTTGGGGAAGGCATTGTCTCTCAAGTAAGTTATGTTATTTTTATGGTAAAGAACAGTGTCACTTAGCAAATTATACTCCATCTCTCTCACGGCAAACTGTCTTTTAAAATATGCGTATGGTCAATCAGTCATTCACTGGAGTAACCTGGTATGTATATTTGTAAAATGCCAGGGAATGTACATTCTTAGGTTCAAAGTAGGTTCTAGCGATGCTCAGAACGGGGCACGATGCAGAGGGACAGCGAGAGGATGGCGCTACGGGCTGTTCCATCCAGGCCCGTGGACCGCTCTCCTTAGAGAAGAGCCTGGAAGTATCCGATGGCTCAGATTTGTCCAGAACGGAAGAGGCCACACACAGGAACTGCGGGTCACCAGCATCTGCAGGAACAGACGGGCCGCAGGGAGGAGGGACTGGCCCGTGGCTCTCTGCTCACTGGCTTCCTGCTCCCAGGCAGCTCCCAACAACCGATTCCAGGGGGAAGTCACCAGGGAACAGGAAGTGGAAAGGCGACCACTCTTAGAAACTGCGCGACACGCAGAGAGGCTGCGGTTTGGGGCGAGGGTCCGAGAGCACGTACGCTGATGAGCTGCGGCGCGGTCAGCACGGGCATGGAGCTGAGGCTCAGCTGCTTCTCCGCCAGCAGCGGCTCGGGCAGCGTCTCCTGGTGCAGCAGGAAGCGCTCCTGCTCGGCCATTTCTAGAATCAGAACGAGATGGTGAGGAGGGGCAGCTCTTACGTCTGCTCCGTCCTGAAGCAGATCTGAATTTCACAAGAAAAAGGACGCTCTCTAAAGATCACCTCATCCTACTCAGCTCCTCCTCGATTCCTGATTACGTTAAAACGTATTCATGGTTTGATCCAAGTCACACGAATTATCACAGCAACCAGAACCCGTTAATCGGGGGGAGGATGCTCCAATTTCCCGTCGTCCCTGAAATGTCTGCCGTAACTGTTTCCATTATCTGGGAGCTGATTCAGGAGTCAACCTCACGCTGGCCCTGGCCGGGTGGCTCAGTTGGTTGAAGCGAACCATCCACCAAGAGGTTTTGGGTTCAGTCCCCAGTCAGGGCAAATACTTAGGTTGTGGGTTCACTCC